ACTGTACTTAAGTACAGTAACGAAGTACTTGTACTTCGTTACTTCCCACCACTGTCTGGAGGAGAATCAGTCTGTCACTGTAACCTGCTCAGCCTTCACTCCCTGTCCACACTCACCTCCTGAACTCACCTGGAACCTTCAACAACACTCCCTCGGACAAACAGAGAAAAACCCAGATGGAACCTTTACAACTAAAATCCAAGAGACAGTCATTCTGTCAGACGCACACAACGGCTACAGCATCAGCTGTTCTGCCGGATATCCTGTGAATGGAGGAAACAAGATGGCAGAGGCAGAAGTGACTCTCAGTGTTCCATGTAAGCCACAGGTGTCAAACTCGAGGCCCGGGAGCCAAATCTGGCCCGCCGTAGCTTTTTATGTGGCCCTCTCCACTCCACGTTACATCAATAAGGCCATCCAGTTTTTCACAAATCTGAAAAAATTCACACTAAGTCAACAAAGCTCCACATTTTTTCTTGATGTCAAGTTATAGTCCATAACTTGACATCAAGTAATAAACAAGTAATAAACAGTCACATTCAACATCATACATTAGCGCAAATATCGTAAAAATGCCTTGCAAATATTTCAAAATTATCTCCACGAAATCTGCAATTTTGATTGCAACAAAACACTAAAACAATCAAAATCCTGGAGGAACAGCTATTTATTGATATTTTAACAGTTTAATTAGTTTTGTCAATATATTCTGGTGCAACCGGCCCTTTAAGAACATTCCGATTTTTGAAATGAAAATGGGTTTGACACCCCTGATCTAAGCGATCTTGTCAGCGTGTAACAGCTTTTTACATTTCTGATAAGTAAAGTTCACGCACGTGTCCCGTTTTTCCTCAGATGTGCCAAGAAACACCCGGGCCTCCGTCAGTCCGTCGTCAGGTTTGGTATCAGCGGGCAGCAGGGTGGAGCTGAGCTGCTGCAGCAGAGCCTGGCCTCCACCCAGCTTCACTTGGTTCAGGATCAGCAGACATGGAGGCGCCAACGTGTCCGTGGGTTCGGTTTACACCTTCAACGCGACTGGGGGGGGGGGGGGTTACTGTGTGGCTGCCAACCGTCTGGGTCACAGCAGATCATCTGTGATCCATGTTGGTCTCCGAGGTAAATATTTAACACCAGATCGTGCCTAAATGTTTAAAATGAGACTTCAAGAGGTTGGTTTTGACCTACATGTTTGCTGAATAGCAGGCATTGTGCCAATCACAGTGGGAACATCAGTGGCCACTTTCCTTATCGTTTGCCTTTTGATGTCTGTTTGGTGAGTAGCACAATTAAAATCATGCCGTATAATTTTGAACAAAATGTGTGTTTTTAAAAAGCTATTTTGAAGAGCACTTCTATATAAATTCTCTGGGGATTTTTTGCCTTCTTTATTAGAGGTGAGTGAAATAAACTGCACTTTTTTATGTTTTTACTGACAGGGATACGATTACTTTATGGACCAAAATATTGCTAAAAAATGTTGCTTTCTTCCGAATTACCAAGTTAATTTTTAGTAGACCTGCTTCACATCTGCACTGAGTGGAGTCGATTCCCATCAATTCGGTCGTCAAACTAAATTGATAAGAAAGCATCTTCACTGTCACTAAAATGGATTTTTGCAATGAATTAATTATAATGTGTAATGTTTTTTTGTAGCAATAGAAAATGCTAAAATCGCGAGATAATAGCATTGAAATTAAAACACAGTCATTTAAAAGTGAAATATGTTTAAATGAATTATGGATTACACTCAGTGGACTAGTGACGTTTTCCATGTTGCCATGGTGATTGGTGATGGCATCTGACAAAATGCAATATTTACTGCTCGATGTTTCACAACTGGTGACTGCCTGATGTTTTCATCTTTGACCTGAATGTGGCTGAAATGTGATGTGCACATAAACTTGTAATTGAACTTTTGATAGTTAGATAAAAACTTTTGATAGTAGATAGAAACCGTAGTTCTGATGTTAAGTAACAAAACTAGTGTCAATTTAAGTAATGTAATAAATAATAAAAAAGTAGCTTTGTTTTTGAACTGTCAAACCCTTTATATCCACTTTGTGTATATCTAAAACTTTCTTTCTGAAAAAATGCATCTTGTTTTTTCTTTTCTTTGTTATTGGTTAGTTTTGTCATCATTCTCCACTTTCTGGATTCTAATCTGATGTGAATATAATGATGTTTATCTTCCAGCGTTTCCTTCAGATTGGTTTAGACTCTCTTTAGTTTTTGTGTTTTAACTTGAAGCACAGTAGAAACACTCTGACAACTCTTCAATGTCTTCCAGTGGTTTTAGGTCCAAACATGCGACTCTGCAGCAGACACAGGTGAGGAGGTGTTCATTTTACGTGTGCAGCACCGCCCTGACGTTTCGTGAAAAAACACATATTTTACTATTTCCCACAGAGTCAAACAGGCTTGGAGGCTGATGTTTGGAAGGCCAACAAAACAGAAGGAGAACTTCATTATGGAGAAGTGAACATCATCAGAAAGACAGCTGAAGCTTCCTCTTTTCCAGCGCAGGACCAGGAGACAGTCTACGCAGAGGTCAAAGAGGTCAGAGGTCGGCAGTCTTGCCAACACAGACTGCCGACAGTCTGTGGTATGCTAACGTGAAGTAAAATTAATGTTTTTATTAGCTATGAATCATTATGTTCTATTTATTGTATTGTTCATATCAGACATTAAGAGAATCTGCGACTCTTTCCAATGATTGTAGATGAACAAATTTAAGAATGAATCAATGATGTATTTTAGATCAAAGTTCATACTTCCATAATTTGCAGTGTGAATACACCATATTACATGTTCATCAATTAATTAAGGCAACAAATCAACAAGTTCTGTAAGAAGAAATGCCCACACATAAATGATGAATTGCCTGTACTTGCATAGCGTTTTATGGAGTCCGTAGGAGCCCAAAGCTCTATGGCGTTCAGTCATTCACACATTCATACAGTGGTGATGTCAATGTGACCAGGCACCGGCGCCACCATCTGACCATGAGCAGCAGGAAAGGCTTCCTCTGTCGTTTTGCCCAGAGAGATTGAGGGCCGCCATCATCCCTTAATGCCACATAAATACACTAGAAAACTCCCAGAAGTTGAACATTTTTGGCTTTTGAAACTCAGACATTTTCATCTCTGAGTTTAATATCAAAATATGAGTTTTTTTTTTTTTATTATTTTGGGGGGGGGGGGGGGTTTGGAACGGTTTTGGTTTTTCTAATCTTCAACTTTTTCAGTTTTTTTTTGACAGT